ACGTCTGTTCATCCAGTGTCATCAAACAGTATGTGCAATGAATAGAGAATCAAAAAAAAGATGCAAATGGCTTGTGATTGCCAAATTTCTACGACAGACAATAATCAAGATGTTCAGACCCCAAAATAACTGGCAGTAGATATCTGTGCACAATCCTGTGAGCCAAATAGTGTACAGATGCAATGTAACCATTGTGTTAGTGCTTCTAATTAAGAATGCGAGTTCAGCAGATGGATGTAAATCCATTGCCTGTTCCCTCACAAAATACAAACTGGCACCTGCCATTGTCCATCTGCTTTATTTCCTGTTCTTCTGATACAATGTCACTTTCTAATGAACCGTCACACCCCCAGTCTGAGCTTCAGCTATGAGCAACCCTCCTCTGCTCTGTTTGGATCATTTTAACCCCCTGAAAGGACATCTGAGTGGACCTTTTTGACTGTAGCTAAAAGCAATGATGCACTCCAGAAAACAGCTGCATAAACTGCAATTATATGTGCTTTAAATGATTTGTTTTATTGTCACATTTTCTCCAAGCGAACTATTTTCTTAAGTTAAGTTAAGTTATAACTATTAGAGATCACGAAGAAGTCCATGGTTAGTTAGAAAACACAGTCATCATTTTGAAATTTAAATTAAAAAAATATGATAAAACACTTTTCCCCCATGCACCCAAACAGAAAACAAAGCAGAGGTGCTTTAATGCCAGCTGAGCTGCACCAGGGAGCCAATGGTCTGCATATGTCTTAGTTTTAAGAGCAAGATTTTCTCCAGACCTCTGTGACCGTGATAAAACAGCTGCTCTGGCAACATGGGATTAATGAGCTGCTGTTGTGGTTTTCATTCTAAGCCAAGTCACAACAGCGGCAGCGAGATTCAAGACACAGAGGCTCAGCAAAGCTAAATGACTGTCACAATAATGGACACAGTCGATGAGCATCAGGGCTGCATGTGTTTTACAGTAATATGGCTGCATAAAGCCTCCAATGTTCCTTATTTCATCCTGCTGTTTAAAAAGAGGCTTTGAAGTCAATGAAATAGAAAAGGGAAGAAATTGATTTTTCTATTTCCATTGCTATAAAAACAACACAAGACAGTTTAGCAGCTCTTAGTCAGTGACAGAACAGATGAAACACAGAAACATGAATTAAACAACATAAAAAGCACAACAATCACATATTTATGATGGGAAGTTGTTTAAATCTGCATTGATTGATTTTTTTTGGTCACTTGGGAACCGTAAAAAAAGATTACGAACTCATGATTGAAAGGTGGAATGACGAAGGTGTTAACTATCAGCTGCCTTGTTACCCATCCAGCGGACACAGAGAACATTACAAATCAATTTTGAGTTTTGTTTTTGTCCACTTGACAAATATTTTGTCTGCTTTTCAATCTTTGCTCCAATTTTTCCATCAATCAGTCGTCCAGATTTTCTCAGGATCCAGATTATGCCTGAGTACTATTTTCACTAAGTCATAAGAGATTGGCAAAATACATTTTTATAATTCAAATTAAAATATAGTTAAAGGGGAATGGATGTTAAACTTAATTCAGCCTCTGTGGCGATATCCATTTCTACAGTTAGAAAAACTGTCCTGCTCACAAATATGAGTGTGCAGTTTTCAAGGAGTATGAGATTAATAAGCAGTAGCTGTGGGAATCGTATATTTAACATATGACCTCTGCAAAATACATCCCTGTTTGAAAGGTCTTCTTGATGTGTTTAATTAAGAGGATGTTGAAGTTAAGAACATCGGACTCCTGCAGTCAGACATAGCTGGTGTTGTTTTGTGTTTGGTGGTGCTGGGCATACAAGGGGTTAACAGAACTTTCTTTTAATTTAATGCCAAGACCATAGACTGTAAATTTTAATGAAATTTAATGGATGAAGCCTTAGTGACGTCACCCATCTGTTACTGCAGGGGGCTTTGGAGTCACATCGATGGCGGTCTCCATTCTGGCAATTCTGTCTCAGCCTAACTTTCAGTCAACCGTTACACCGTGACCGCCTGTCAATCAGGTCAGCTACGCGCCTAACTGTGAACGTCCTACATCCAATGGTCCAAATTAATTTGCTGTTTACACAACTTGAGCATTGAGTGTGACAATGACAACTGCACTGAATGGAAAACAGGAATGGCATTTGCACATGGAAAGCAACAATTGACCACAACCAAAAACCCCATTTTAAACAACCAGAAAAAAACAGTAGGGTATTTAATGTCAACAATCGTTACCTGCGCTGTTTTCCACACTGTTGACCGGTGAAATATGACATCAAGTTATCCCTCTCAGAGTTGAATCCAACTCAGAGTTGAGCCACCACATGATTTTTTATTATTTGACAGTGCCACACATTTGAATAAACATCTTATGACTTTTAGCCTGAACAACCGTCTTATCTCTCCCAATAAAAACACCAGTGCATTATTTTACCAGAGGTTCCCCGCTCCTTGTTCCCTGAGGACTGCTGGTGTCTGAGTACATTATGATTATCCATTCAGCAGGAAATGAACAGGCCTGGGATGAGCCTGATAAAAGAAGAGGAACTTGTCTGCAGCCGAGGCAGTCGGAGTCAAGGGTCACATGTCATTTATCGATGTCAGGCTTCCTTTTCTGAATGCTAATAGCTAACACGCTGCTAGGACAATACGATTAGATTTGATTAAAACAGCCCATTAGCATAGAAGTTAGTGGAGGCTGAGTGACATTCGGGGGGGGGGGGGGGGGGGCGTTGTCCGTGGTTGTTTTCTTTTGTAAAAAAAAAAACAACTAACTGGACAGATAAATCAGTGGTCAAGTCTTTACCTACAGGTACTGTTGGGGGAACCATATGTGTCCAACAAGCATGTTGAAGTACAAGTTGTGTCGTGATCCCAAAGCTGATACTCTCTCTCTCACTGCAGGAGCTAGTTATTGATCAGGCCTCAGTCCAAGATTTACGCTGGGGGTCACCAGTTAGGAATTGCTCCTTGGGAGATGACTAATCATTCGATGAGATTTCTGACTGCGCTAATCTCCCGTTTGAATGGAGATTAACCGCCATGTGGGGTGATGACTCCCCCCTTTGTCTTTTTTTTTTTGTCTGGATTGGGGATCTGCTCGGCCTTATCTTATCTCTGTGCCTCATTTCTCCAGGGCAGTTCCTCGTTGTTATCAACATGGCTCCATCTACATGGAAATCAAAGCCTTTGCAGAAGTGGAATACGATTAGAGAGGGGGAGGGAAAAAAAGAAGCCTAATCTTTCTCACCCCCGCCTCCCTCGATTCATGCTAATAATTCACAGCACAAACCTGCGAGGAGTAGAGAGACTCAACAACAACAACACACGCTGCCTGTTGTGGTGGATGGATGAACAAGGTGGCACAGCAGCAATGTGTTCTTGTGTAACTGAAATATGTCATCTGCGAGGTTTCTTTTTGTCAGTGGGCCTCGAAAATGAGGATTAACTCTCGCTTCGCAGGACCCAGCTGCCTGACACTGACCTCCTTTGTTTTTTTAATGACCAAAGAGTAGATGCTTGTGTGCAACTGCGTGTATATGTTTATGTGTGTGTGTGCGTATGTGTAGCAGGGGTGGCCGCTCAAAGGGGGGCGGGTTACTAAGGGGGGATTTAGAAGCACCACAGCAGCCTCACTACGCTGTAAACAAAAGTACATGGTGCTTTACAGTGTGTGTGTGTGTGTGTGTGTGTGTGTGTGTGTGAGTGTGTGAGTGTGTGTGTTTGTGTGAATGTATAACATCCCGCTGCTGGTGACACCAGACAAAAAGAGGAAGACTGAGTCCATCTGTAGCGGCGGGATTAAGCTGTGCTCAAGCCAAGAGCTACATGTCAATCAACTGCTAAGTGTGTGTGTGTGTGTGTACTTACTGTGTATGTGTGTCACATACTGTACACCCACATACACAAACAGCTCTTGGCTGGCGGTGGGGGGGACCCCAACACTGTTGTTTTCATTTGTAATCTTCGGTATGGAGGGGAGCCAGTGATGCATCAATCACACTCACACTGAAAAACAACACAAAAAATGAAAAGACAAAGTTGTTTTAAAGTGTGTGTGTGTGTGTGTGTGTGTGTGTGTGCGCATGTTTGAGTGTGTGTGAACTCATTTTGCACCAAAGCATGAATCAGATATGAGTGACATCTTCAGAGTCGAGCGTGAAAAAGGCTTTGACAAAAAACAATTGTTGACATTAAAGATTCAACAAACAAAAAAAAAGATGCTGTCTTTTATCTACTGGAATGTCCCAGACTGTGTTTTGAAGACTCCCACACATGGGTCACCACCCCCACCCACACTCACCCTCCCTGTCTCTTTGAGCAGCTTGTTGTCGGGCTGTGGGGACCCCCAACTGTTCCCCCATAATGCAACAGCACTTCTGCATGGCACCCTGTGGCAACCAGCTCTGAAGCCTTGGCTGCAGCCAAGCGCAAAGGTCAAGGCCTGTGTACAGTAGGTGTGTGAGGATTGTGGGTCTGTGGGAGGAAGGGGGTGACCTGGATGTAGTAGCCCCCCACATGCAGGTTGGGGGTCATTATGCCCCCACGTGCCGGTGTATTAGTGATTGAAGCCGACTTGCTCCCATACACCTTTCACCCCGGCTTGAGGGGGAAAATTGAAATCAATACGGCCGATGATGAGGGGACGGGAGTGGGACAGGGGTGAGGGAGGAGTGGAGGGGGGCTTGACGGATGGCTGGTTAAAGGGGGGCGATCAATTACCCTGATGGATTGCTTTTTGGGGATTTCAGAAAGGAGATGGATCTCTGCTCCTTAAAGACTGATATCCTTCACTTACATCTTTGTTGTTGAGAAAAGTGGCAACTGGTCCCTCCTCCTCCTCTTCCTCCTCCTCTCTCTCTCTCCATCCTTTATTTTTCGAAAATGTTTAATCCTCTTCGTCCCCTCCCCCTCCCTCCCTCCCTCCTCCTCCTCCTCCTCCTCCTCCTCCTCCTCACATTCTCCCTCTAACGGATAACCCCTCTCTTCTTTCTCTCTCTCGATTATTCTCTGTGCATTTTTAATTTTTCTCTTTCTGTCACCGGGGGCCCACTTTTCCCCGCCCACTCTCCTCATTTTTTTTTCGCCCGAGTCTGAGAATAGTGGAGCCAAGAAATAGTTAATCTTTCCGGCTGCTGCTATGATTGGCCGCTGTGTGCAGCCTTCAGCCTCCTTGAATGAGAAACAGGGGTAACCAGGCAACTTCAGAGCCGGAGAGGAGAGAGAGAAAAGAAGATAGAGCGTTACAGGATCTTAAAATTATGGAAGAATTTTTGTAAAGAAAAAAAAAAAGCAAGGCAATGTGATTTCACCTTGTGTGTCCGGGAAATGGAATTAACAAATGGATTTTCTTGAACGCTCTCTCTCTCTCTCTTCCTCTCCCTCTCTCTCTCTCCCTCTCTCTCAATGGGGGGAACAGATAGAGCGCTCAAATGAAGGGGACACAGATGTGGATTAAAACGCTTAAATGGGACACTCCAGAGACGCACGCGCTCAGAAAAGGTGAGTGACACCTCTGTTGTCGGCTTGTCTATTAACGGGAGTGTTTAAAACTGTGAAAGTGAGGAGCTGAATCCGGATAAGAGGCGGCTCAACGACATGTCAGGATTTATGGAGAGGATGCGTTGGCCGCTGAATGGAAATGGGCTGCGGAACAGTCCGTTTTGGATCGAGAGACAGTTACCTATATGAGAAAAGGAAGATATAAGATCGGAAATGAGCTCTTCAATGGTGGATTTGAATGTGGAGTCCTTTAAAGAGTAAACGCCGGTCGCCTGTCAAATAACCTGCTGTCCCACATTCAATTGCGCACAAATTGGTCACGGACATTCCGATTTTTCAAATGATTTCGATACCTGATTTAGATTTTTATGATCTGCGGTTTGAAAAATGCCACCAAAGGACACAAGTGTCAGGGAAAAAAGCGTTTTCATCAACGTCTGCACCCCCCTCCCTCTCCAAATATTCAAATGAAGCGCTGTCCTGCTGCAACAGCAATAAGTCATCTTCAAACCACTGCGTGTTAACGCGCTCCGACGCGCAGTGAATGAGTGAGTGATGCCGCATATGTCGGTAAATGTATTGATTTCAGTAGAAAAACGCTTAGAAAATGCTCAGTAGGCTGTGTTGGGGGGGGGGGAGTACCTGTGGATGGATGTGTGTGAGTGTGTGTGTGTGTGTGTGTGTGTGTGTGTGTGTGTGTGTATGTGTGTTTGCTGGATGGGAGCGCACAGCGCTGCGCAGCAGCACCGGTCTCACCGGCAGCGCTAAGCGAAAGTCTGCCTCATACCGGAGCAAAGGCCCGGAGAGGAGAAGCTCCTCTGGACTTAAGTCACGTCCAAGGGTCATTGTGGGGCTCAAACAATCCTATTGATTGTGGAAGCGTCCAGGCAAAGGGGGAGCTGAGGGGGGCGTGCAGTTGCGCCCATTTTTCTATTTAACCGATGAGATTGATGGATGTCACGCGCCAATGATGCTCTTAAACGCATCGACTTCTCTTAGATTAAACTTTATATAGCTCGTCATGGCTTTCCATCAGGATCTATGAACGGTGACAATCTTCTTATTCTTCTTATTTAAAAATAATATTCCTCTAGTTCTATTAAAGGGGCTAATAGAGGGGTATTGAACCCATTCATTTTCCATAATTTTAACCTTTCAACAGTCAAACCCCCTTTGGGTAAAGCTGAATATGAGCCAACAAGACCAGCTCAGATGCTCAATTCCTTGCTGGACCATATGTCCATCATGATGTCCTGTGTTTTCTGCTTGGTGCTGATGTAAGAGCAGGCCTACATGGAAAATGGCCTTGACTGTGGCCTTTGACAAGCAGAAACAAAGCAGTGAGATGCTCTAAAACAAGCTTCCAGGGAAGTCAAGAAGCTAACATCTCTTTCACTGAAATGACCACATGTGATGTTTACTTTGTGGCCTGGCGGGACATTAGCAAAGATCTGCGTTGTTGACATTGGTGCCAAAGTTCATCGGCGACTTCTGCCAGTCGTCCAAACTGCCTTTGGTAATCTCCTTACAGCGGATGTTCTGCAACGGATCCTAAGCTGCACTCACTGGCTTGATTGTAGGACACATGTGTTGCACACGCACACACATACACATTCGAACAGTACTATTTCCAGTTGTCATCCCAGGACAGTTCCTTGCAGCCCAGTGTGAGTTGTGGGGCTTAAGATGGAGCTGAACAGAAACACTCGAGAGCATTAACGTCTCCAGTATGGGCTTCTTTGTTGGGTCCCCCAGTGGAATCAAGACACTTAATTTAGCTTCTGACAGCTAACGCAGCGAGTGGCTATGGGAGCTGTATCTTATCCGATTAAGCCCATAATGCTTTTTCCCCTTGTGCAATTATTGTAAAATGAGGAAACTGGTAAAGTTATTTCTTTTTCATGTTATCTCAGCACAATTACAACAATGCAGGGGCAACATTTTGGCTGCTGGTTATTTTGCACTTCTAAAATCCTTTGGGTTGCTTACAAGTGTTTCATCCTGTCTTATTGTCTGGGTGAAAGCCTGCTGTATTGTTACGTTTGTTGCTTCTCTTCATATTGCATTACCTTAACTTGAACTCCCTTAAGATTTCCCAAGTGCTCTTAGAGAATGGCTCTACCGAACAAGGAGGTTACACTCACATTAATCACATTTCAGCGTTAGACACAGGATTGCTGGAGTGGCCTAAATCTTTTATAAAAGTAGTTTTAATGAGCGTGCGAGATCGCGTCTGAGTTCTCATTTTGCTAGTGGCCTTATCACATCCAGTCTGCTCATTAATGAAGACGTGGCCCCTGGCACAAGCAGGTCAGAGGTGATTGCAGCTGCTTTGCTTGAAAGAGAGCGAGATTGCTCAGATAGTGGTGCATTGTTAGATAATGAATGATGCACAAGCTCTGCCGGGAGTTTAATCAACATGACAGGTGCAGCTGAAGCTGAGAGTACAGCGAGAGGGTTTATGGTGACCAAATGTGTCAGAGGCAAAGACTTAAGCTGTTAAAGTAGAAAAGAAAAGGAACTTTGCACTCTCCCCCTGGGATGTTTAAAGGAATAGTTTCTCTCTCTTTTAATGTTGAGGAACACTTTCATTTGCTTCTCACTGTACAGGGAGTTAAATAACAAAAAATCCTGTACAAACATAGTGTGAAGAAACACAAGTTTGCTAACTTGTCTGGGATATTTATGTGGTCTACTTACAAAGCAACATCCAGAGGAAACTTTCCGAGCCTTGCCGTTAGGCAGAAAATCCCCTGATAAAATAGTTACATTTTATAATACAGTTTAGTATTGATTAAATAAATTATTATAAATAACAAATTGGTAAGATTCAGAGGCAGATTTTCTTACCTTTTTACGGAAGCAAGCAAAATGTTTCCACATGTTTCCAGTCTTTATGCTAAGCTACGCAGCCTTTTCAGTGCTTCCAGCTAATATTTAGGGTAAAGACAGATGTTTCAAACCTCAGCAATGAAGTGAAGAAGAGTTTTTGTTGAACATTTTTTTATTTCAGAGCCATTCCAACTTTCAATTCCAATTTTCAGCCCATTTGCTATGAGGTTAGGACAAGTATAGTCAATGCAACAATATTTTATAAGCACCACTAAAAAATGAAACAGCATGCGATTATAATACAACAACAGTGTGGTGCTTGTTGAGAGTAATGTTAGCTAAAGCCAAACATGTCAGCTATCAGTGTTTTCCACCAGTAACTCATATTGATTTCTTTGGTCAATACTCACGTCTAGATATTTGAACCTATTTCTTATGTAACAACAGCACTGGAGCATCTCATGTTGAACATTTTGGCATCTCAAAGCAGAATCATCCTTCAAAATATAAAATAAATGTACCCTGGACACGCCTTAACCAGGGCAATATCAAAAACCAATCTATGCTTATAACCCAGGCTCTGCTCAAATCAACAGGCTGTTGTTTGAAATAGAACGCCTGAAATTGGAAAATGTTTACATGAACATTTTCTTTCCAATATGTTCAGGCTGGATCTGTTTCACTAATAAAAATGGAAATAGGCCCACACTTTAAAAACTGAATACGGCTTGCACAAAATAGAAGATGTTATCCTGCACATTAAACCACAACTCCACTGCCCTTCATATTTTATTACATATGAGATCAATACATTGTTTCTGATATCATTTTGAGACAATTATGAAAGTTAACTAGGCCATTCTGTTTACAAGAGAACCACCGCTCAGTTATTATTCTTGAATTAACTGTTTGAAAGTAAGACAATTAGGTCAGCAATTGTTTCCAATTGCATGCGAGGCTTATGTAATATTTCCATTTATTCATATGCGAGTCAGTCAATTATAGCTATATGTGTAAGTTCTGCAAAAAAAAAATAGCAGTCAAGCACCATTGACTTGAAGTGTTATCTCACAGTTGTGTCCCTTATCGCGCTGACCCTGTTGAGTCGACAATGAAGCTGCGACCCCGCCGCCATACAGAGTGTTAACTGGAATCAAATGGGGCAGTGAATTGCCAGCCCATCACACAATTATTTCCATTGTGTGGAGCTGGGTGGCGAGTAATCTGTGTGCCATGGCCTGTAACATCTGGTGAGTGAGTGAAGTGTTCAGTGTGAAAGAGGGAGTATCGTCCCGCCTCGACCACTTTCCACAGGACCGGGCTTCTTCGATGCATCAATGACACCAGCCATCGCGAGGGACATGTCGCATGCCAGACCAGTGATTCATTAGGACTCAATTAGCTGGGAGGCATGGGGCGGCCTGCCATATGCCTCCAGGTTCTACTGCAATCTGTACCCACTCCCCATTACGACTGTACTCTGGCACTGTACTCTGCTGTGTACATGTGTGTATTGCATCAGCACAGGGCAACCGTCTGTTCCTCTTCGCCAACCTGCCTTCTTTGTCCCATTAAAAACCCAGTCAGAAGTAGAGATTCAGCGTCTCGTCTCCAGCCACCCAGCTTCTGAGCTCGGAAATGAGTCACAATGACCTTCAGCTCAACTCATGTAGCGCCAGTTGGCTCAGAATGAAACATTCATCCATCTAGTGAAGTATGAGGCTGTGGAGCTCCAGATACTGTAAATCTTAGGAGGTAAGAAAGGCCCCCGCTCAATATCGACTTTGCCTCGTCTGCCAAGAGGCGGCGTGTGCTGCCGACAAGATCTATCCGACCTCGAATCTACTTTGTCTTCTTATCTGTGCCAAGGTATAAGACCTCCCTCTACCTCACCTCGTCCTGTGTGCCCCACACAATCCAACCCCAACCCCTCCACAAACCCAAATTAATAAAATGAGATGAGAGCAGAGGGAAGCCTTTAGAGAGAGAGAGAGAGAGAGCGCAATGAACACACCAAGCTTGAGATATGTGATATGATGTGATGTGATGTGGCGTATGCACATGCTGCTCATACATGTTAGCTGGCATCTGATCACTGACTGACTCCAAGATTTTAAAGGTCAATACTGCCTATTTGGTTTCAAAGATGCTACAGGCTTTTTGTTACA